GGGCGGGATCGCTGCCAGTCTGGCCACCAAAGGCCACATGCAAACCCAGGAGCAGGTTTGCATGAAAATCAAGCTGGTCCAGCGAGACCCCCAACACTGAGCCCGGAACTTCCCTTTCCCCTTCTTCCCCTTGCTTCCCCCTCTCCTTTCCCACCCTCTCTCCTCCCCTCTACCGCCTCCTTTTCCCAATCTCACCCAGAGAAGGGGTGTTCTGCTCGGTGCACTTGGCCTGGGCCGCTGGATCTGGCCCAGCACAGCCCGGCACGGGGATAAGAGCTCGGCCTGAGACCAGGACCAGACCCGAATGACTCAGAGCACCAGGCTGGAGCTTGGACGCCTGAGTTGTGTCCCTGGCGCTGTCGCCGGCTGGCTGGGGCAAGTTGCTTCCCTGCTGCCTCAGTTTCCCCTTCGGGAGTCGGGGAGACGCTGCTGCCCTGCACGGCCAAGCACGGTGACCAGGTGGAGAGGGGCGGAGGAGCTGGGGCTCCCTGGCCACCCCCTCCGGATGGATGCCCTGCAGGGCCTTGCGCCCCTCCCCCTCCCATTCCCCCCACAGGGCCCCACTGGGTCTGTGACGTGGTGCAGGTTGGTCAATTGGTATGCGCAGCGGGGCACATGCAGGTCACGGCCCCGCGGGAAAGAAACTTGGGCAGCACTGCCCGTGGGGGGCCAGGGCTATGGGGTACCTGCCTGGGCACTGGAACGCCTGCATGAGGGGGGGGGCTGCTGCTAGCAGGTGACTACGGATGGGGAGCACAACGGGGGCAGTACAGTACACACAAGTATGGCCCAAAAGCTGCCCCTGGAAATGTGCCACCCCAAGCACGTACTTGCTTTGCTAGTGCCTAGAGCTGGTGCCTGGGCTTAGGGCACTGTGCAATAGGAACCAAGCCTTGTCTATGCCAAAGGCGTGTCACAAGGAAGCCTGTCTGTCCTTCAGCTAAGCTCTGGAGTGAGGGAGTAGAGAAGAAATAACTTCAATCTTGTTCAGGACAGAAACTTGCAAGCTCCAAAGCAGCCCCTGAGCAGTGGCTTAGCACTCTCTGTACCCCTCATTCCCCACCCTCTGTTCTACATCCAGGGAGAATGGGACTGCCTTGTTCCCTGGGTTCCCTCTCTGCTGAGCCACTTCTCTGGCCGCTGGAGCAACCCCCCCTGCAACATGGTGCAGTGGGAGAGGCTGGGCTGCAGCAGGCTCCTACCCACAGCAGTGTATGAGAGTGTGTAGGTATCACCTCTCCCCATGTGAACCATAAAGACTTACCGTATATTCCGGCGTACAAGACGACCTCTGAAGTTAAAAAACATCCCCCAAAAATCGGGGGTCGTCTTGTACGCCGGATGCCCCACCGCCGGAGCCCCTCCACGGCTTTGAAAGCCTCGGGGGAAGCCGGCGGGGGGGGGCGCACCGGCGCGCGA